CCTTGTCTTGCTTGGTTAGTTTCTGATGAGCACCATCCTGACTGCACCTCCTTTTCTTTCAGGCTAGTTTATTTAAAGCCTTCAAGGAGCTCTTCCAAGCTGCTTCGTCTCGACCTCCTCCGTACGGCCTCTGTCCCTATCCTTCATCCCGGGCCATCTACGCTGTGGACCTCATGCTGAAGTGGGACCAAGGTCCAAATGGTAACCTGACTGTTGGGGCTTCATGGGGGGGCTGCATGTTGGATGTCTCAGGTATTGACAGTCATCAACTGGGGCCTCGTGTTCATAAAGGTTGGTGTTGTTCTGGTTTCAGGTGAGCGGATCATGCAGCCTCAGATCCTGGAGCTGAACTTCAGCCCTGACTGCGCGCGGGCCTGCCTCTACCATCCGGACTTCTACAACCACATGTTTCAGACGCTGTTCCTGGATCAGCCCGAGGGCTGCCCTGTCACACGGATAGCATGAACAATGTTTGGAAATCTGTCCAATGACTGGAGCAACACTAGGAGAAAATAAACATCTTTGCTTCCTCCCTGCCATCGTCTCATTTTCTAACCAGTCCTACAGCCCTGATGGCGTGGGCTGCCGGGCAGGCAGGCTGGGCCTGTGGGCACCGGTCCGCATCACATAGGCTGCCAATGTCCGTCGAAGATAAGCTGGTTCTCTAGTTGAGAACCAAAGAGCTTCTTTAAACTCGCCTCCTCCACTGATACCGTCGGCCATCACAGATCTGCTGCAGGTGGCGGGTCACACTGATGGAGCTAAAGCTTCTTCTCCGACAGTGAAGCTTAAACTGGAAACGGTGTAAAGAAGTTAGATGAATGTATAAAAACATTCCCCTCCTCCAGGGGGAGAAGCAGCCTGACCATGGAGCAGATCCAGAGGATAATCATGTGTTATGATGCAGTCAAAGCCCTGAGCAGGAATCTGTGGCAACACAGAGAAACAGTTTATAGATGTTGGTCATCTCATTGAGGTTACGCTCATGGTAGAAGGTTTGATACACTAAGTATTAGTTAAACTTAATATACTGATGCTATGAAACAGCCAGCGTGTGTCAAAGTGATGAATTCGTTTTATTCTAAAAGATGTTTGATGCCGTAAGGCAGACTGTTTACATTCCAGCTGGTCTGATTAGGGAGTACCAATATGGCGGCCGGTGGCTTCATTCCACCCTGTACTGCCAATGGACAAGCAGCAATCCAGTGAATGCAAACGCACAGCAGTGCAGTTGTTTGGGGGGGTTAGCCGCTAACGCTAGCATTGCCTTATGGATTATTAAATAATGCTAAGCTACAGGAACAGACCTCATGCTCTCTGCTTGATGCCTGGTGTACAACAATAAAACTAAGTTAACATGTTTAAGTCTGGAAAATAAATGCATCATTTTACACTATCATCATAAGAGTTTAATAGAGCTGGGCATTTAACCTAGATTTGAAGCGTATTCCTTTATTATTTATCTACTCTGTGTCTAAGCAGAGCCTCCCTGTTGACTTACTTGGACTTTATTGTCATTTTGTACATCGTCAACAAAAAAATAAATTTAATTCAGTACAGACATTTCCATTTTAAAGTGCAGCAGTGATCAAATATAACATAAAAACATATACTGGTATATGATTTACAGTTCCAACATTCAGCGCTTTATAATCATTATTTTTTAACCCCATTTTATTCCAACAGTTCATCAGTGTGATGGCGGTGGGGGGGGGGGTTAGTGTAGTTCTGGATTATAATGCATAAAATCATTGCCGACAACAAATCTCTATCTGGATTTTTTGTGAAAATATTTCCAAAAGTATCGCTTCTGTCACGTGATTTAGAATGGGCAGAACTATTGGGCGCTGTGGCTCTAGCAGGCTAACGGCTCAGTCTCCAGCTGGCAGAACTTTCCTAACTCCACGGCTCTGGCTTCAAAGCGCGGTGGCGACCTCCTTCCGCCCGCCCCCTTCCGCCATGTTTCCAAAGTTGTTATGAAGAGTTTGGTCCCATGCAGGCTGAAGCAGCGTGATTTTCTACACTGAGTGGGCTCTGTTCAGT